GAAGCACCTATTGCAAAATGTCAGTTTTTATTGAAGTTTGGTAAAGAACTTTACTAAAATTACTTTACAGTCACGGTCACAGTCCTCCCGTTGTTCATCGATTTGCTCAAGCGGGCCCAGTAATGTCTCCATGTGAGACTTGTTGTTACTGTGTTTGGCATATCGAATACATCACAGGTAGCTTGCCAGGCTCTGCCGTGCGGGCGAGATACTCTCGGTAGCTTGCCGGGCTCTCCGAGAGGGGCAGAGGAATCGAACTCGGGTCGGCCATATTGGCTACATTTTTCTAAATTTAGTAAAATGTCTGTAAAATTATTCTTTATTGTCTGGTGTGCTTGAAATGTCTTTAAGAGTTTTAAAAAGAAGAGTTGGGATACTCACTGTAAAATAGCATCCTAGAATGACTGCTTCAAAGTGGAGGTATAAATTAATATGAATTTCATCTCTCTATGCTTTCATGGACTCAGAATTCCCCCCCCTTTATCATTAGAGTTGATATGGTTGTGAGGAAACAATTCATTCCCCCACACAAATGGACTAAGACTTCAGAAGGAACCTGTGAATACTTATATGGAAAAACAGGAAATACTCATTTCCTTGGACTCGGTACTCTGCTACTAGAAATTTATGCAAAGGAAATGATCATTTTAAAGAATAAAGGATGGAATGTGTGAATAAAAAAGATTTGTGGGTGTTTTATTTTTCCTTAACAATGACAAACTGGCAATAAAATAAATGACATGGATAATTGGAAGAATGCTCACCATTGTTCCACCGTGGTCATGCTGTGCTCGCCTTTCCCAAGTCTCTGTGACACTCTAGCTAGCATCTCTGCTTCTGCCCATACACCAACAGTCTACTCTGCTCAGCAACCAAAATGATCCTTCCAAAAGGAAATGCAATAGCTTCCTTATTCCTCTTCAAAATGCCCTCCTTACCCTTGGGGCTACCAACACTGGGTATCAACTTCCACCTCCTAGAATCTGGATTATGTTAATTATATCCTAGCTAGGTTTTACCACTTCCTACTTCCTTCCTTTCAGCATATCAGTGAGAGTGTCCTTTTCAAATCATAAATCAGATCCTGATGCTCATCTGCTCAATACCCTCCAATGGCTTCCCATCTGACTCAGAGTAAGCCCATATGACTCAGAACCAAGTCAGGGTAAACTTATACAGTGTCACACAGGACCTCACCTCCTTCCCAGGCACACTTCATCCTTTTCACTGGCGCTTCTCTATATATAATGGGTTTTTTTGTCCACAAAATTCATTTACTTGCTTCCTTCAAGTGGGAAAACAAATCTTCCCTTCTCCTTATTAAGTCCTTACTAACTACCCTATTCAAAATTTTTAACACTCTGTGCAACCATATCCTACTTCCTTGTTTTATATTTTCTATTAACATTTATTAGTTTCTAAAATAATAATTTATATAGCATCTTCAAATGACTTTTTGTCACTATTACACTAACACTACGGGTTTAGCTCCCTTTTTTCTTTCTTCTCTGTCTCTCTCTTTCCTTCTTTCTTGTTTTTGGGTTTTTTTGTTTGAGTTGGTTCATTTTTGTTTTTTTCTTCTGTGTTCTGGGGATGAACCACAGGGTCCTGTGCGCTCTATCACTTACGTATATGCTCCCTATCAAAGAAGGACTTTTACTTATTTTGTTCACAGCTGTTTCCCTAGATGCTAGAAAAATGTTGGAAATATACTTGACATTCAATAAATATTTTTGAAAAAAAGAAAAATAATTAGGTAAATTTGGTTTAAAGAGAATAGAAGAATAAGCAATCAGGCAAAGAAATTACTTGGAGGCAGGAGATTTGGCTCAGCACCTGCCTGGAATGTGTATGGTCCTGGATTTGATCCCTGGCACCACAAAACCCAAAATAAAATAAAACTACATTGATGTGATTACATTGAGCAAATTGCATTACTTTTGTTTTGTTTTGCTTTGCTTTACCATTCTTAAATTGCAGAGTATAGGTCTATCTTTGATATTCCGATCATTTTTGTTTATTTTGGAGCCATATCCCATAGTGCTCCCTTCTGGTGGAATTTAGAAACCCAATGGGTGCTAGGAATTGAACGCAGATCAGCTTCATGCAAAGTTCCCTATTCATTCTACTATCTCTCAGGCCCACTGTTCCCATAACTTTTATCTACTAAGTAACTTCAAGTACTGCTTAGTTTATTTCTAGTTTATTTGATATTTAGTTTATTTTCTATATAACAGTGTTAAGTCAAGGACTCTGCTTCGAGTTTCTCATCTCCATTACTCATGTTGCTTTGTACACACATCCATCAATAGTTAGAGAATCTATTTTAAGAACAGTCTTCCCCAATAAAATGGGAGAACTTTTACAGGATAAGGCATCTAGAGCATATTAATGAAGATTTGAGATAATTAGGCAGGTGATATAGATGAAGTGGGGATAAGAATGCTAGTAGCTTTGAGAATAGAGTCTACCACCTTCCTCTTGACCTACCTCAGTCACTCAGAAAGTGTTTGGGAGGGTCACAATTGATATTATCCAGCACCTATAGGCCTGGACACTGTATTACACCAGTCCACTCAACAATTGTAAGGCTGCGCCCAAGTCCCACTTGGTCTACATTGCACAGACATTAATTCCTGCCACCACTTTCTCTGGGAGCTATGGCACTCATGTGGAAGTGAGATTCTCTTTTCAGGAAAAAGAAAATCAGCTCTAGCCTCAGGTTCTTTTCCGATCTCTTGGCTTTCCTCACAGAAAAGGACTTTGAAGAAGAATTCTAATGGTGAAATGAAAGTTCGGTTTAGAGAAGGGAAAAAGAGCAATGTGTTCAAAAGAGACCCAGGGTACCCATAAAGCAAAAGAAAGGAATTAAAACGCTAGTGACCCCCTCAATAGGGAAGCAATCTTGCCTTTGCAGTGTTAGACTGATAAGTTTTCACCTAAAATTCCCCAACTAGAGGCTTTCTGTGCAGGTAAGAGCCTGGTGTTGGGGCATTGTCAGGGGGAAGAGCTTTGAACGTTTGGTGACCCACCAAGTTCTCATTATAGCCTTTGTGTCCCTGGTATTTCTCTCTAGAAGGGTGCAGCTTTGCCTGGGCAGGTGCTGGCGCCACTTAGAATTTCATATGCCTCAGTTCTGTGTCCACAAAATGGATCTTGGTCTACTTTTGAGTTAGTGACAGTGTAACTTCTTTGAATCATATTTTGGTTTGATTATTTCCCAAGCACTCATTCTCAGGGGCCCTCCTATCTAACTACTTCATATTGAACAATAAATTAGTACAGACACTGAGCGAAGTGCCTTCAAGAACCTTCCATAGATCATTTACTTCTCACAACAACCCTGTACAGTGACCAACACACACTCACACACACACACACACACACACACACACACACATAAATAAGTAATTATGTATAATAAAATGGGCTGGAGCGATAGCACAGCAGGTAGGGCATTTGCCTTGCACACAACCGACCCAGATTCAGTTCCTCCGTCCCTCTCTGAGAGCCCAGCAAGCTAACAAGAGTATCTCGCCCGCATCGCAGAGCCTGGCAGCTCCCCATGGCATATTCGATATGCCAAAAAACAGTAACAAGTCTCACAATACAGACATTACTGGTGCCCACTCGATCAAATCAATGAACAATGGGAGGACGGTGCTACAGTGCAGTGTAGTATAATAAAATGTATGCCAACTTTAAATTAGGCACTAAAGTGGTGGTAGTTGTTCAGTTGACTTTTTTCTTTCAAAATTGTTTCAGATCTTAAATATGTGCCTGTGTAGAGTAGGAAGGAGGGTTAAGGGGGCGGTGGGATGGGGGGATAATTAGAAAACTTGACAGCAATAGGTAAGGGATAAGGTAAAGGTAAAGGCCCTCCCGTTGATCGTCGATTTGCTCGAGCGGGCCCAGTAACGTCTCCATTGGAGACTTTGTTGTTACTGTGTCTGGCATATCGAATACTCTCGGTAGCTTGCCGGGCTCTCCGAGAGGGGCGGAGGAATCGAACTCGGGTTGGGATATTCTTTTTTAATTTTTTAAAAATTTTTTATTTTAATGAATCATCATGAGATACATTTACAGACTTAGACTTTCATTATTACATTTCAGTCAAACATTGTTCATGTACCCACGTCTCCACCAGTGCCCAATCTCCACCCACAATGTTCCCAGTATCCTTCCCCCTACCCCCTTTTCCCACCTCTTGCCAGTAAGGGATATTCTTAATAACCTTTCAGAATCAATATTAAAAAACCACAGTGCGGGGTTGGAGCGATAACACAGGTTTGCCTTGCATGCGGCCGACCCTGGTTCAATCCAAGGCATCCCATATGGTTCCCCAAGCACCGCCAGGAGTAATTCCTGAGTGCAGAGCAGGAGTAGCCCCTGAGCATTGCTGGGTGTAACCCAAAAAAGAAAAAAAAAAAACCCACAATGCCCAAAAGGAGAGAGAGAGGCGCCTGTCAAAGAGGCAGGCAAGGGGGGCGGTGATGGGAAGGAACCTGGGGACACCGCGTGGTGCTGGGAAATGTACACTGGTGGAGAGATGGGTCTTGGAATAGTGTATGACTAAAATCCAATCATGAACAGCTTTGTAATGCTCTAAAAAATTTTTTTAATTTAAAATTAAAAAATAGAAGAAAAATTTACAACGTAAAAACAAATAGCAACAGAGAACCCGAGGGCAGAGTCTGGGAAAAGGGGAGGCACAAATCGCGACAACTCCACCAATGAGCTGCCGGCGCCCGCCAGGCCAAGAAGCGCCCCACCCCCGGAAGCGATTCCTTAAGGGGAAGCCAATGCCCCGCCCCAGGCGGAGGACGGGCGAGGCTGGAGGCGGAGCCACGCCTCGCACGGGGGGCGGGGGGGCGGGCCCAGGCCAGACTCTCGGGATCTGGCACTGATTGGCTGTCGCCGGGCCCGGTGGGCGTGCACCAGGGCAGAGTCTCACGGAGGGCCTGTGTGTGCGCCTGCGCCTAGTGCGGAGCGGAAAGGAGCGGGGCCCCGAGCTGGACTGACGGGTCAGCGGCGCCGCCCGCCCCCCGGAGCGGTGCCGGAAACGCGCCGGCCGGATCCCCCCCAGCCGGAGCCCCTCTGTTTTCAGAGCCGCGAGCCCTTTTCCTTCCCACGGCCCCGCCTCCCGTTCTCCGCCCCTCATCCGGCGGCCGAAGCCCCTCAGCCTGGGCGGGGCGGGGCCGCCCGCGCTCGCGGACCCGGAAGAGGTGCCCTCAGCCACCTCGGCCATGGAGACCGCTTCGCCGTCCCTCACCGAGGAGGACCTGACCGAAGTGAAGAAGGACGTGAGTTCCAGTAGCCCGGGCCCCGGCGCGAGCCGAGAGCGGGGGTGGGGGCGGGTGGGGGGGGTGTATGAAGCGGGCGGGGACAGCGGAAACCTGGAGCGCCAGTTGTAGTCGGAAGAGGACTTGCGGGTTGCCTGCCGGAGCGGAAGGTCCAGACCCCGCGGGGTTGCGGGGAGCGCCGCGTCCTGGGGACCTGGATGCAAGGGACCCCGTCTGCCCCGGCGACCTGCACCTCCGCCCCCTCCCCCCCACGCGCTGACCGCGGGGCTCGCATCTCTGAACGTTCTTCCCAGGGAGCGTTACCCCGCGCCGACTCTCTTCGCATCCCGGTGAACCCACCTCCCACCCCAGCTCTGCGCCCTCGCGCTGCTCCCCGCCGCCCGCCGTCGCGGCTCCTGGCTGCATCGGGTCGGGGTCGGGGTCGGGGTCTGGTCGGGCTCCCGAGGAGAGGGGGCAGCGGAGCAGATCTGCGAAACCTCCTTCACCCCGGCTGGTGGGGAAGCTCAGCAGCTGGGAGCACACCCCGGAATTCCCCCCTCGTAAGCAGACGCCCACATATTTAAATTGTGGGGAGTGGGGTGGGGAGTCGAGCACTTGCAGAAACTATATTTACAGTTTGGCAAAGGGCGAAAATAATCGTTGGGTCGCTGGCTTGGATGCTTGCTTGCTTGCTTGCTCGAGCTGCGCTGGTGTTCGTTTGTTCGTGGAGGGAGGGGGTTAACGGTGTTGGTGTGATTTGCTTGTTCTTTTTTTATTCCACCTTCAGTGCTCGTTCCCTGGTTTTCCGTTCTCAGACCGACACGAATAGCACTCAGAGTTGCTTTCTATTAATTCATCTTAGAAACGAGCTCAGTGTGCAGTGTGTTCTGCTTTGATGCTGTTCTTATACAAAGCCATATTTGTGGACGGGGTCGGATAGATTTTTTTAAATGTTCGTTTCCCCAAATTTTCTCTTTCTCTCTCTCTCTCTCTCTCTCTCTCTCTCTCTCTCTCTCTCTCTCTCTCTCTCTCTCTCTTTCACACACACACACACACACACACACACATATACACACAGTGAGTGTGAGTTTTAATATACTGTTCTCATCACTGCACTTGGTAGGTCTGACTCACTCGCAGAAGTCGCTCACCCCAGAAGTCCTACCTTGGTTTCCTCATTCAGCAGGTGTCTGTTAGAGCAAGTACTGAATCAGAACCGCGTGCTCTGCACCCCTGTCAGCCCCTGCTTGGTTTCCCTAGCTTAACTATGGGAGAAGTCCTTGAGCACTTAAGGCGGGGGGAGGGGGGGGATGCGATTTTTCTTGGGCCTGAAAAGATTCTGGTCGAGGTAAAACTGAGATTTTGATAACTGCTTTAGAGTGAATGAGAGTTGTCTTGTTCAGAATTTGTTCTTTTCCAGGAAAACCATGAACTTGGAGAGCAAGGGCCTGTTACCATCCAGAAACTAAGTCACTTAGTTTACAGTGTTTCCGCTTAATCATTCCCACACCTCAAGGCTCTAAGAGTCATTCTTTATTACAGCTGATAAAGCAGAGTGTAAGATTCCAGGTCAGGGTATGAAACTTGAAGCAAATACGAATGTGCACAGGCTATCAGGGCCCTTTTTTCTTCAGTTCATTGGTATTATCCATCACCTTGATTTCAGTTCACAGCTAGAGAGAAATCCATAGCCTTAGAGAATTAGAAGTGTTCCCAAAGGTTTGTGGAACTAACCATCTTCATTTTTTTGGTTAGAAACCTTTTTATCATGAGATTTCCAAAATGGCTTCTGACTTTAGGAATTTCTTAAATATCATCCAGATATTTGGACTTTCTTTTCTCACAACTCTGGATGCTTATTTTTTCAAGAATCTACTGGAAGTACACTTTGATACTTTTATGCCATGTAGTTTTCTCACTTTATCTGAAATAGAACCTTTTATCAAGCTATCCTCAAAATTGCTTACTGTTTGAGATGTATTCTCTTGTCTAGAAATAGTATACCCATTCTCCTAGTATACTATAAAATATATAACACACTCTTGCTTCTCACTATAGTTCTTCCCCAGCCCCTACCCCTGTTCAGCTGCTTACTTAATCTTGTTCATGTAATTAGTTTAGTTTTATAATACGGATTATTTGCTGTTGTAGGACTGGTAGTATAGTTGATTCTAACAGTTCAAAAATTTAAAGACACATTCTTGTTTGAAAAGAACTCAGTTTCTTGGAGGGAAGGAGACAGACTAAAATAATAAATGCAAATCACAAAATAAGTGCAGTGAATTTTACATTCACCCAAAAACTAGATGCTTGGCACTCTGCTAAGTACAGAGTATAGTGTTGAACAAGCATGTCTGGTTTTTACCTGCTTCAAAAAATACAGGTCCTGGGCTGGAGCGATAGCACAGCGGGTAGGGCGTTTGCCTTGCACGCCGCCAACATGGCCGACCCAGGTTCGATTCCCAGCATCCCATATGGTCCCCTGACCACCGCCAGGAGTAATTCCTGAGTGCATGAGCCAGGAGTAACTCCTGAGCATCGCCGGGTGTGACCCAAAAAGCAAAAAAAAAAAAAAAAATACAGATCCTTAGCATTGAAAACAACTGTATAGTTATAAATTACAGTAGGAACTATGAAGGAGACAAAACAGGTGTTGAGATGATAGCAGGAGAAATCAGTTGAGATACGATGGTGGGTGACATTTGCTTTTAAACCATCTCAAAGAATATAACAGAAGGGTAGAATTTGCACAGGAAAGATCTATTATAGCCAAGACCTTGGGAAATTGGGGAGATTAGGAGAAGACAGAGATTGCACTGAGGTGACACAGAAAAATAACTAAAGTCAAAACTTAAAAGATTCGAGATGGTAGTATTTGTATTTTTCTCCAAATTATTAAGTACAGAATTGAAGAGTTAGAGTTTTTTAAGATCTCTCTGCAATTGAGAGCAAAAGTGAGAAGAGGGATTCACACCCTAATTCTAAGAAGCAATTCTTATTATTCATATATTTAAGAGATGATTTGGATCAGAGTGAAGGCAGTGGTGATGTACAAAAGGGAAATTCCAGAAATGTATTTGAAATAGAAAGAATAAAATGTCATGATGTATTTAATGCTGGAGATAGAAGGTAGAATCAGATTAGTCTATGGAATTGTCAAATCAGCAATCAGAGCTACAGATCTGAAAATCAGAGCAGTTTGAGCTAGAAAATGTAAGCATGTAAATGAGTGAGTTCACAGAGGAGTTGAGAGCAACCTGAGAAAAGGGAGATCACAGAAATTTTTAAATGTGAGAGGTTGGTCACAGATATGGGAAGATAGTATTCTCACAGAGTGTCCCAGACATACTTGACCTCTCTCCCCCTTTTCAGGGGAAAAAAAAAATCACTGTTATCCTAAGGCTACTATCTGCTATAGTCTACCCCCTAATCTTTCCAACACCTCTTCCCCTCACCACCACCCCCATCCCCAAATCCCTGGGGCTGGGTATCACCCATTTTGGGAAACAAGAAAAAAGTGTTTTAGGCTAGGAGGGCTCAGCAGTATATGTCCTTGCAGTTAAGATGATAGGTGCAGAATAAAAAGTATCAGTTTCAGCCTTAAGAGACCATTCATGACTTTGGGGGAGGAGGAGGGAAGTTGGGCCACACCCAGTGTTTCTTAGGTGTAACTCCTGGAACCCTGGAATTTTTTTTTTTTTTTTTTTGGAATCACCTTGAGATACGGTTACAAAGCTTTCATGGTTGAGTTTCAGTCATACAATGATTGAACACCCATCCCTCCACCAGTGTACATTTCCAGGAATTATTCTTAATGGTGCTAGGGACTGTAAGGAATACCAGGATCAAACCTGGGCCCTGGCTTGCAAGGCAAGTGCCTTAACCACTGTACTATCTCTTCAGCCCCATTAGTAACTTTTTAAAAAAGAGAGAGATGGCGTAGAGATACGAAATAGGAATTTGGGAAAGAGGAATTAGGCCCTGATAAATAGAAAAGTGAAATGTATAGACAGGGTGCTATAAGGACAGATGGGAGGGGTGTATAACTCATTTAGGCGGGGGCTGGGAGGGTTCTTAGGTATTGCTATCTTAAAGAGTCTGCTACTGCCCTGAATTTTAAGGGATAAATAGGATCTTTGTATATGAGAAGATAATGTTAACATTAAGAAGTGTAGATGCCAACAACATTAGTATATGAAGTTTCTAGACACACAGAGGTGGTAGATTAAAGAGTGCTGTCCATAGAGTGGACAGGAGTCATATTACGAAATGACCTGCCTAGACTTATCAAATAAAAACTATTAAATTTTGAGCACTTCATGTTTATCACTGTTAGAGAAAGTGTTATCTAAAAGTGGCCTCGTTGGGAGGTTTTACTTACAAAGCTTATCTTGAGTAACCACAGATGAATAGTTCTCCAAACCAAATCTCCCTGACAGATTTCAAAGGTTTTATAGTGGCCTCAACTCAGTTCAGTCACTGTATATTGTTCAGATAATCTCTACAGCACAAGGCTTTTCTAAGCCTGTGTCCTTAGAGCAATTTCTGAGAATGGTGGAAGCAAACATTTCAGACATTCCAAGGGGGCAAAGTTATAATGTATATTACAAGGAAGGGATGAAAAGCCTTCAGTGGCCTGGGTCTGGCTTGTGACTCAGTAGTGAGTCACAATCTCTTAAGTGCGTTCTCCGACAGCCAGAAAATACATGAAATTCTCAGATGCACTGTCTCATTTTTACAGCTAGAGGACCCACCTGCAAAGTATTTGTCATTGTGTCAGCAAAACCGAAAGTGTGACCAGATTACATAACTTGCCCTAGCTCTCATAGGCATGTGTGGCAGATTGAAGATTTGAGCTAAGATTGTTTTGAGTCTAAAACCAAAGTCCAGAGTCTTATTTTTTATACTACTCTGTAATATAACTTTCTTCTTGAAATCAAGGGTAGAAACCAGTGTTTCAATTTTGAATTTTTTTTTCTTTTAGGCTCTAGAAAATTTGCGTGTATACTTGTGTGAAAAAATTATAGCTGAGAGACATTTTGATCATCTGCGTGCAAAAAAAATACTCAGTAAAGAAGACACTGAAGAAATTTCTTGCCGAACATCTAGTCGAAAAAGGGCTGGAAAGTTGTTAGACTACTTACAAGAAAACCCCAAAGGACTAGATACTCTGGTCGAATCTATTCGAAGAGAGAAAACACAGAACTTCCTAATACAGAAGATTACAGATGAAGTGCTAAAACTTAGAAATATAAAGTTAGAACATCTTAAAGGTAAGATGTCTTTGATGTCCTAGAGTTAATTAAGTTAAACGTAACAATGCTTTTAAAAAGTAAAATAAAAAACAAACCCAGAAGTGATCATTCAAAAAGATCATAATTCTTAGTTACATTTATTTTCAATTTTGGCCTTGGAAAAGTAGAATATAGCTTAATATTAGATATTTAGGGTGCCATGGAGATGGCTCAGTGGACTGAGCATATGCTTGCAGGAGTCCTGGATTTGTCACCACATGATCCCCTGAGCACCACCAGGAGCAGCCACTAAGCACAGAACTAGAAGTAGACCTGTGAACTGTCAAGTGTGGCCACAAAGAAGAAAAGGAGGGCCCAGAGAGATGGTACAGGGAGTAGCGAGGTTGCTTTACATGTGCCTGACCCAGGTTTAATCCCCAGCACCAACACCACCAGGAGTGATCCCTGAGCACAGAGCCAGGAGTATGCCATGAGCAAAGCTGGGTGTGACCCAAAAGCAAAATTAAGTTACCATAAGAAAATATAATTACTAAAGTACCTTATGATTCTTGGCAAAAGCAAAAGAGGACAGAGTTTTTCAATTGCTATTTAAGTTATGGTTGTGGGTAACTAACTTGTATTTTTCAAAGTTGCAAAATACCTGTGGGCCCCCTTGTTAAAGCTTTTTCATTCATATCTGCCTAATTTTATTGTAGGACTGAAATGTAGCAGCTGTGAGCCTTTTCCAGATGGAGCCACAAGCAAAATCACTAGATCAAATTCGGATGAGAGTACTTGCTCTGATAAACTGAGACCATCCACTGTTATGTACCACCCAGAAGGGGAATCCAGCACAGCTCCCTTTTTTTCTACTCATTCATCTCTGAATTTGCCCATATCTGAAGTAGGCAGAACTGAAAACCCCTCCTTTTCTTCAACTACGCTTCCAAGACCTGGGGACCCTGGTGCACCTCCTTTGCCACCAGAACTACAATTAGAAGAAGAAGGAACTTGCGGAAATTCCACTGATATGTTTCTTCCCTTAAGATCACGTGCTATTTCTCGGCAATGATGGCTTCCTGCTCTCTTTCTATTGTTTTTTGTTTTTTTGTGCCTCGCCTGACTGTGCTCAGGTCCTACTCCCAATGTGTTGCTTGGGGAATCGTGAGTTGGCAGGAACTGAACCTGGGCCTCCCGTGTGCAGAGCATGCACACCAGTGCTCTCTCTCCCAACCAGTGCCTTTTCATTTTAAAATAATGACAAAATATATGAAAAGATAGGAATCTTTTTTATAAAATTGCTATGATTATTAACATTTGATATGTGTCAAAATGCAATGTGCGCATACTCTGTAAATAGAATTTTTTAGAATAAAATAAGCATAATTTTAGAGATGATAAGATCATGTTGATCATGTGCTTTTCAGTATTTTTTATTTTTGAGCTGTTTAGGTGTCTTCAAAGCTTTATGTTTTCAGACTGATTTTTATGGGAAACACTTCTTGGGCCACAAATAATGCCTCTTCTCAGTGCATTTGTACTGGAAGTCTTATGGCCCTTTCCAGTCATTTGCAGTAAAATTTGAGAGCTAAGTTGTTTCTATTGGGTCATAAAAGCCAGTCACCCACTGATGTGAAGTCTGCCAATGCACTAAAAAGAATTTTTTTCTTAGCCAATTGAATCCTTCTTGTTCAGAGGAATAGCTACTGGGATTTTAAGGCACGGAAGACTTTAATTTGCCAAAATACCTTTCTTGTTTACCTTAATGATTAGTGCTAGTTTATTAAGATTTTCACATTCTTTGTTTTAACATTTTTCCATTCCTAAGGTAAATCCTTGGCATCATCTTGTTATTAAATGTAACCTGATAGATTAAAATACTTCCTTTGAACTTTCAATGCTCTTTTAATGAGAACCACCATACATAAAGTTGAAATAATAAATCTTTTGACAGCTCTGTTTTTAACACAATTTGGAACAAGTAGGCTATTAGCTATATTTGTTTTGTTGTTGTTATGTAACAAAACAGCTAATTTTGTTTATTTATGATTTTATGCTGTTTTAATTGTAATTTCACCCATTTTCTGATGCCAACTCATACATATTTTCATTAATTACCAAAAGAGCAGAGATGGATTTGTGTTATTAGAAATGGAAGTTTTTTAAAGATCGTGCTGTGATTTAGAAGTTTTAGCTTCAATAGCAAATATCTAAAACACTACCAGTTTATCACTGTCCAGTTTATCATTCAAAAAAATTGACATGTTGGCATTAAAAGTGTTTCAGAAATGGATGATTTTTATGTAGGTATTTTCTAAGGATTGTGGGTAAACATAGCACCTCTACCATAGCAAAAGAAAATAGTGGCACTTACATTTCAAAAAATCTCTTTAAAAGCAGAATCCAAAATGAGAAGCAGGCTTTTTCATTTCATAATTTCACATTTCACTGATACGTGATTACTTGTTTAAAAAAATTTAAGGAAGGCTCAGTGGCAAAGTGTGTGTCTCATACATGTGAGATCTTGGGATTAAACCCCAGCACTAACAAACACAAAAAAATCAGCATTTACTCAAACTCAAAGATGATGATTTAGGTATGCTATAGCATCTGTATTTATAGTTTAAAACAATGAGTTTTTGTTCAAATTGTTGACTAACTGCATAGATAATTTGACAGATAAATATTCTCACATAAAGCCAAATTTGTTTATTTTAAACACTGAAAACAGTCATTGCCAAAAATATTAAAATCACAGACTGATATGATGCCACTGGCTACTACGATGATTAATGTGTAGTGAATCACAGATATATTATCACTTGATACAAAACGTCACAGGTAAACTCATTTTATTGCTTTTTGTTTGGTTTTCAGAGAAGGGCAGTCACACCTGGTGATGGTCAGGGAGATGCATTGCTAGGGATTGAATCTGGACATTCATCTGGACGTTCATACAAAGAATGTCCTTCTGTCCTCTAAACTTTTTCCTGGAAGAACTGATATATTTATTAAAATTGATAAGTCTAATGAAACCAACAGCTTACATTGTGTTCAGTCTTTGTATAAACAAAGTTTTGACAAATGTCTACTATCATACCATGAAAAGATTTTGCTGCCTTAAAAATCTCACATACTTAATTCATTCCTTGCTCTCTCTTTCCTCCTCATCCTTGGCACCAAGGATCTTTAGTCAGTAGTTTTGCCTTTTCCAGAATGTCATATAGTTGGAATCAGAGTGTTTAGTCTTTCGATCTGATTTTTTTTTTACTTAAAATGCATTTAAGTGTCCTCTATGTCTTTTTGGGTGAGCTCACTTTTTTAAAAGGTCATTTCATATTTGTGTGACATGTCACTCTTAGTGCCAGATGAAACACTGGAAACTTAGGGGTAAGCCAAAGATAATGCCCTTTCTTTGGGGATTTTTTTTCTTTGGGGATTTTTATTCTTTAAAACATTTTTTTTGTTTGCAAGTCTTTAAATCTGCTTTCATAAAATATTTTTATTCCAATATACCAATTTTCTTGTTTGATTAATGATTTTTGTCTCTTGTTTAAGGAGTCTTTGCCTCTCTCAGTGCCAGGATGGTAATTTATGTTTTCATGAAACTTAGTTGTTTTACAGTTCTGATTAAAAACTGATTCGTTATTCATTTAAAAAATGGTTTTTGTGTATGATGTAGGGTGGAATTCAAATTTAATAGTCACTGTCTTACCAAGCAGGAAGTTTCAGACTGTAGCATTAGCTTATGTAACTGGATATGTGAGTATACTGTTTACGGAGACAGGAGGAATTAAAGCAGGAAGGAAGTTGGTCTGTAGTTGTTAAATGTAATCTTACAAGGACTTTCTGAAAGGAGAGCTGAATTATAGTATACACTGTACCTGAATAACTTGAGTGTTGCTCCTAAAATCCTAACGTGAAGTTTGCCCTGTATTGAATTTAATTACCTTGTTGTTCTAAACTTTAAAGGATGTCAGTGACCATACTATACTCCATAGCAATTAGAATGTTGGGTGTGGATGCCAAGTTATCAGAAGTGTGTGAAAATTTCCTGGCAATTACAATATGCAGCAATATTGGAAACCACCACCCTAATAGATGTCAAATTCTATTGCTTGGTGTTTCCACCTTTGAGCTCTTGTTTTTTTCTGTTTTGTTTTGGGCCACACCCAGCAATGTTCATAGGCTGGAAACCATGTGGTGCCTCCAATCCTGCTAGGCTTCCCTCAAGCAAAGCATGCTCTCTGGTCTTAGACCTAACACTATTGCTCTAATGAGTTTATTTTAATGCTGATCACAGCCTTGAAAACTGGGTTTTATTGTTTGGACCATTATATTTTTGTACTCAGGTTACTTCTGGCCATATGCTTAGCGATTTCTTCCAATGGCATGCACTCTTAGTGCCAGATCTAACACTGAAAAATTAGGGGTAAACCAGGAGACCACATTGTGCCAGGGATCATGTTTTGCCTTCTGCATGCTCTACATGTACTCATGTACTCTCAGGCTGTTGAGCTATTTCTCCAGCCCAGTTGGTTTTTTGATTTTGGGTTTTTTTTTTTATTATTAGTGAAACACCATGAGGTACAGTTATAGACTTATAAATTTTTGTGCTTGGGTTTCAGTTATACAATGATCAAGTACCTATCCCTCCACCAGTGCCCATCCTCCACCACCACGGGTCCCAGCATCCCTCCCCCCCATTCCCCCCCCCCTTCCACCCTGCCTCTGTGGCAGGGCATTCCCCCTTGTTCTCTCTCTCTTCTTTTGGGTCCTGTGTTTTGCAAGAGAGGCATTGAGTGGCAATCATGTTTGGTCTATAGACTACTTTTAGCATGCTTCTCCCACCCTGGCAGGGTCCTCACAACACCCTTTATTTGGTGCTCTCTTCTCTATCTGAGCTTCCTTTTCACCTAGCACGTGTGGCTGGCCTTCAAGTCATAGAACAAAATTCCTGGTACTAATCTCAGCCATTCCTGGGTGTTAGTCTCACTTTTTTTGCTTTATGTTCCCCAGATGAATGCAATCTTTCTGTGATTTAAAATTAAAAATTCAAGATAATGGGGTGGGGGGGCTGAAGCGATAGTACAACGGGTAGTGCATTTATCTTGCAAACTGCTGATCCAGGTTTGATCCCGGACATCCCATATGGTCCCCCAACCACCAGCAGCAGTGGTTCCTGAGTGCAGAGCCAGGAGTAACTCCTGAATATCGCTGAGTATGACCCAAAAAGCCAAAAAAAAAAAAAAAAAAAAGACAAATTACAAGTTGTTTAAGATTAAAATCCAGAACTGAAGCAGGAGAAATAGAAATAGATCAAAGAACTAAGTGTGCTTTTCATAAGTGAGACTAAGTTATGATTCCCAGGACCCATGGACCCCCAAGCACAGAGCCAGGTACAGACTTTGAGCACCTACCAGGTGTGGTCCGAACAAAAACAAAAATAAAATTCAGAAATAATTTCATTCCAAGATCAGTTCTTGGATCAATTCGAGTCTTTCCCATTATCCATGTGCATATCCATTTGTATTCTTAAATGACGTAAAGGTAAAAGTGGAGATTACATGGGGTTTCTTTTTCACTCATTAATTCAGTAATTACTGTATTTTTCCAGGTGCCAGAGACAATGTGCTAAAAAGTTATTTTCTCATAGAATTAAATTTTAGTTGGGAGATAGAAATAGAAAATAAACTGAATAATTCCAGGTGTCATGGATAACAGAATGGGGTGTGTAGAGACCAAGAAAATATTTTGTGAAAAAGTGCATCAGTAACATTATTCGGAAAGCCCTCAGAGCAGGTATTTGAGTTGTGATCTGAATCCTAAGAAAGAAGGAGCAGCTAGCCTGGAGCATCTTGTGCCAGGAAGCCAGTGTTCAAAGAATGGGTGGGGGAGTGTGTCCAGAAAGGCACAGAAGCCAGTCTGAAGAGACTCCAGCCAGTCAAACCTGGGATGGTTTTAATATCAATATAAATAATGACACCTGCCAGGGCTGATCCCTTGACTGCAGAGCCAGGAGTAAGTCCTCAACACTGCTGGGTGTGGCCCCAAAATAAATAATAACAATGACTGATTACAACATTGCTAAATAAGAACCGCAGGTCAATGCTAATGTAAATCAAAGAATGATGAAGTATGGAGTATTTACATAACCTCAACCTTCCTAGAAAACATAATAGAAAGGAAGGGAAAAATTATATTTACCATAAAGAAGCCTGAGAAAGGGCGCTCTGAGCGAAACACAGGTTAAAGTCACCAGGACTAAATAAAATTAATCTCAAACATCCAAATATGGTGGGTTGAGAACACACCAACACCATCTTCCTATTTTTTCCTGCTGAGGATTCGCAGCCTGTATCTCTAGTCATTGAGGAAAAATCAAGTGAACTCAAATTGAGGCATCTTCTATGATAAATACCTGGTGAGCAGTAAAATATCAAGGTCATGAAAGTTAAGGACAAATGATTTCATGTCGAAGCGAATAAAAGACATGACTGCTTAAACAGAAGTCTTCTATTTGAATCAATTTAAAGATCATTAAGTGTTTAGGAAATTTCACAAGAAAAATTGCAATTGTCCAGGAAAAACAACTATAGAATTGAAATATTGCATTTGAATTTTAATTATATTTTAAACTTTAAATGACAAGCTGACTTTTGTCCTGAGCCTCTGGATTTCAAATGGTGATATTTCAAGAGATGAGAAGGGCTGGAGAGATAGCTCAGCAGACTGAAAAAGCATGTCAGCATGAGGGTGACTCACAATTCTTGGGGGACCAATAGTACAATTCTTGGGGAAACATCATATACCATTATTAGGAGTTATAAGAAGCAATCCCCAAGCAGAGAGATGAAATTCCTTGAGGACTGCTGGGACTGGCCCCAAACCCAATAAATAGATTGAAGAAATTGGCAAGGTTAGAGTGAGAAATGAAGAGTTCTGTTTTAGATATACTTTTGTTACCCCATAACACAACCTCAAAACTCAGTAACTTGGTGCTGGAGCAATTGTACAGCAGGTAGGGCATTTGCCTTGCACACGGCCGACCCAGGTTCGATTCCCAGCATCCCATATGGTCCCCTGAGCACTGCCAGGAGTAATTTCTGAATACAAAGCCAGGAGTCGCTCTTGTGCATTGCTGGGGACCCAAAAACAACAACAAAAAACCTCAGTAACTCAACCATTTTCAACCATTTATTTGTTTATGATCCTATAATTTTCTAATTCATAAATTTGACATGTTTTTACTGATGATTTATCCTCAGATAATTCCTGGAATCTTCTAGGATTTACCTGGGGCTGGATGACTTCACTCCTACAGTGCTAACTTACCTAGTGTGGACAGGCTACCTGGGAGCTGACTAGAGCTCTTAGTCATAAATGTTGTCTCCAGCAGGCTTGCAGGATCTCTTTACAAGATGATGCAGGACTCTAAGAGAAAAAAAGTAGAAGCATTCTTTTTAGTTAAATTTTTTGTTTTGTTTGTTTTGTTTTGTTTTGGGGTCACACTCAGTGATGCTCAGGAGTTATTTCTGGCTCTGCACTTAGTAGTCACTCCTGGTGGTCCTCGGGGGGACCATTGGGGTGCCAGGTACTGGCCATATGCAATGCAAGTGCCCTATCTGCTGTATTGCAGTCCCCAAAAGAAGTAGAAGCATTCTTTATATCACAGCAAGTTCGAGTTCAGCCCACAAAGGGAGAGCTAGGAGATTCTTCTTCCTCTTCATGGAAGGAGTTGGATTCCTACGTGGAAATGGCAGGAAAAGTTAGTTACCATGGTAGATCATCTACCACAAATGTGTTATGTTTGAGAGACTTGTTAGACATTGACATTAGGTACAGAACTTAGTTCAGTTAAGACTTTTGGTTATGTGAATGTAGGTTTTATTTATATGAGTCACACACCCAGCTTTGGGAATAAACCCAGCTGTACTCAGGACTTATTTCTAGCACTGTGCTCAGGGATTACTCCTGGTAGTGCTTGGGGAACCATATGTAGTGCCAGGGATTGAACCAGAAATGGCTGCATAAAAGTTAAGTGCTTTGCTCCTCATGCTTCCTCTCCAGGCCAACAGTGGGTCACTTTTAAAAGCCACAAACACGTAAAATCGGAGTGTCAATTATAGTAAATAAGTAGTTTACAATACTTTATATATTAAAATGAATAGCTGAGTCCCGGATATTTCTACATACAGAGCTTCTCCTTGTCTTCTTGCAACAGACATGTAGACAGCACTAACTTCTTGTGGTCAAGCTCTGGGACTGTATGCAGAGTGTACTGCAAATCAAGAAGTCAAGTTTTTATTAGGACTTAGGACTTATAAAACGCATATATATATATATATATATATATATATATATATATATATATTGGTTTGAAGCCACACGGCTGAGCTCAGTTAGTCCTGGCTCTATACTCAGAAAACATACCTGGCAGGGCCTAGGGTACAATATGGGGTTCAAGGGATTGAACCTTAGCTGCAAGACAAGCATCTTAACGCTAGCTGGAAGTACTATCCAGCCCCTAAAACTTGCATGCATTTTAAGACATTATATTTAAAAAAAAAGTTTTTTTCTGTTTTGGAGCCACACCTGGTAGCACTCGAGGCTTACTTGTGGTGCGACAGAGGGGTGGAAGTGAGGGCATATGGGGTCTGCTGCATGCAAGACAAGTTCCCGCCCTGCTGAGCTCTCTCTCTCCGGCCCCCAGTATATCCTTCCCAAAATTGATTTTGCTTATAAGATGCCACATATATCCCTTTGACATGTAGACCAGTTGGAGGCTGAGTTTAGATGTGGGCAATCAACTATGTCGACATGACTAAGTCCTAATAAATACTTGACTCCTTGATTTGCAGTATTTTCTGCCTATAGTCCCAGAGCTTGACCACAAGAAGTTAGTGCTGTCTACATGTCTGTTGCAAGAAGACAAGGAGAAGCTCTGTATGTAGAAATATCCGGAACTCAGCTACCTCATACACTAGTTCCCTAGGCTCAGTTTAACCTGTATGGTTCTCTGTAAAAAGGACAACCACAAGTAAGCCAGCTTGCAGTGAGCACAGTAGGTTCTCCTACCAAATTACCAAACCTGAGGGCGGTTTGCAGGCTTCCATCCTTTGCACTTCAGGGCCATTTTCTTCAGTCAAGTGAGTACTTGGATGGAAATGTTTTCATCTAGACCTACACCTTCTTAAGCTGCTGCAATCCAACAATAGTTTTGAGATCTACTGTAACAGGGACTGAGCTGGGCATTAGGAAGTTTAAAAAATTAAAGAGGAGGAACCAAGCATGGTCCAGCTCCACCCCTTTAGGAATGCACAGTCCCATGCCACAGGGACTGGGAAAGAGGAATAAACCAACAGCTGACCTCTGCCTCTTGGGGCCTATCTTCACAGGACAGGCAGTTACAGTGAATGCATCATCTGAATGACAGCATCCTTAATACTGGGGTCTGTGAACCTGTACACTGACACCAACATGATCAATTTGATCTAGGTGTCTGTCCCTCTTAGTTCACCAGGAAGTGATTTTTAGATTCCAGGAGGTGGGGGTAGGAATGAGGGAGGGAACAACTCAACAGCCTAGAGGCAGGCTTTGCATGGGGGTGAGAGGAGGGCCGTCCATACCAGAACCATTATGGTCTCCCAAATACTAGAAGTACTAACACTACCAGTTACAGCCCCCAAATAAAATGAAACGGGCCATAGAGATAGTAGATATGTAGGTAAGGTGTTTGCCTTGCATGTGTCCAGCCAAGGTTAAATTCCCCTGCATCCCATACAGTCCTCCAAGCCCTGACAGAAGTGATCTCTGAGCAGAGCCAGGAGTGCATCCTGAGGACCAGTGTGGCCCTTAAACCAAAATGAATAAATAAAATGAAATTTTTTCCTGGATTTCTTAGGAATGAGTATGCCCTTTCTGAAAGGAAACATAAAAGCAGACAAATTAAATGAAAATACATCTTTCTGATCCAGTTAAGTGGGTATTTGAGATCCCAGCAGGATGTCAATCTGAACAATTTTAAGAACTAGGCCCAGTGCAGAGATGGGAAGGAAGGTGAGTCCCTGTTTGTTTTCACAACACCACAGGACACAAGAAGAGGCTCTTCCTAGGATGGACGGCAGGCAGACTCCCTAGCATTCTCTACTCTCTCCCTTCCTGGCACAGTCGTAGTCTGTTGTTATTGTAGTCCTGGTCATCAGAGTTCCATCATCCGAGTCTCCTCGCAGACCTCAAAGTCTCCAAAGTCTCAGTTCTCCTTGTCTTCAGTGTCTTGTCATCGACCTCAACAACTAGTCTTCAGCATCTAGTCTTCACTCTAAATCTTTTCTCAGTGTCTTCTCTATTCCCAAGTTTTTGTCTTCCCCCTCAATCTCCTGCCTCTAACTTCCTCAGTCTCTGTCTCTGTCTCCTGATCTCTAGTCTACTACCGTTGTCTTCCTTTTATTTTTTTCCTTTTAGTCTCTTGCCTCTATCTTCTCCTTCTTCTCCCCCAACAACACTTTACGCCACAGTTATATAGGAATCATGTAGGATGGGGATACAAAGGTGGGGTTGAACATTAGAAAATCAACAAAGAGAGGTAAAGGCCACTCCTTCTCAAGGACAAAATCTCATCTAAGGAGATTATTCAAGATTACTAGGAGAACCGCCCAAGGGTGGGATTTCATCCAGAGTGTATTGCTTTCCCCTCAGCTAGTAATCCACTTAAATAGTTCATGAGCGGGGCCCAGTAACGTCTCCATTGGAGACTTTGTTGTTACTGTGTCTGGCATATCGAATACGTCACGGGGAACTTGCCAGGCTCTGCAGTGCGGGCGAGATACTCTCAGTAGCTTGCCAGGCTCTCCGAGAGGGGCGGAGGAATCGAACTTGGGTCAGCCATGTTGGCTGCGTGCAAGGCAAACGCCCTACCGCTGTGCTATTGCTCCAGCCCACTTAAATAGTCATAGTAAATTTACTTCTTATAATATTTCTAGCAATGTCATTTTGTATGAGCACAATAAGAGATATGTTAAGCTTAAAGTTTGGTTCTTCATGGGGACATCTCACTATATATTACAGACCACAGTCCTCAGACCAGGTTAGTCTTCCTAACCCCAGCAGGGTCCTTATTCAGTTACCTCTTTTTTTGGGTCATGACAGAATTTGTCCATGACTGTGCTCTTAACTTATAGTTAAGTATTATGGTGCTTGACCTGGCCCATTTCAATGCCAGGATAGCTCACAGCTTGCCCTGGGTCCATCAGTCCCTTGTCGGGACCCTGCTCTTGGAGTCCTAGGAACTAAGGGCAACTGAGGCTTAAGTCAAGTAAATATGGATGCCCAGGAGTAAATATTATGTTGGAGTCAATTAACTACCATGTTACAAAGTATAGCATCAATTTTCTTCCTGTGTCTATACAAAAAGGACACTGCTAAATAAACCATAAAATGATATAGAGGAAAGAGAAAAGCAACATAGGATTTATTAGTTGTGCCTTAGTTGCACTGTTGTAGGAGTGGCTCATTAAACCCTAAACTCCCTGAGGGAGCAGCAAGGACAACCAGTGTTATCCAACACGTCAAGGATATATGATAGTCAGGAAGGGATAGTCTGACTTACAAGTGTTTTGGTAAAAATCGCAATAAAATATTTGTATTACAAAAAAGTAGTATAATACACTGAGCAACAGCCATGATTAAGAGTCATACAGAGCAAATCGGACACAAGACCAACAACGGAAAGCCGAAGTTTGGAGGACACCCATCCCCACCCCCCTTCCCCAGGAAGTATGTGGGGGTGGGGAGTGGGGAAGACAATTCAACAGCCTAGAGACAGGCTCTGCATTGTCGCTTCAATCCCCAGCACCACATGGTCCCCCAAGCAATAGAAGTAGCTAGCACAGCGGGTAGGGCGTTCGCCTTACAAGCGGCCAACATGGCTGACCCGAGTTCGATTCCTCCGCCCCTCTCGGAGAGCCCGGCAAGCTACCGAGAGTATTCGATATGCCAAACACAGTAACAACAAAGTCTCCAATGGAGACGTTACTGGGCCCACTCGAGCAAATCGACGATCAACGGGAGGGCCTTTACCTTTTTTACCCCTAGCACTACCAGTTATAGCCCCAAAATAAAATGAAAGGCCAGAGGGATAGTAGCGTGTGTATGGTGTTTGTGTGTGGCCGCCAGGGCTTAGATTCCCCGGGTGGAGAATGCATGAAGTGATGCAGTGAAACCCAGGCGATTTCATCAAAGAGAGGCAAATCGGAATCTATCGGAACAAAGTCAAGCTGAAGAGAGCTCAGTCTGCAGCATGATGGACTCGGCCTCTGGAGGTCTTCCTCCGACTAGGAGTCATTTTAATTTGGAAGAGGAAATGCAATAGGTTCAGGAAGAAGTTTTGGGTTTCTCTGGGCAAAATTAAAGCGGAATGACAAAGCAAAAGCAAAAGTATAAGCCTCTAATAGACCTTACTGAATGCTGAACGCTTGCTTGGGACCACAAACCAGGGTTCCCTAAGGAAGTGAGCACAAGACAGCCCAGTTTGGCTTTGGACGCGGCAGTGCCTCGGCTACGGAGCAGGGGCGCCCGGCAGCCGCTAGGGTGCGCCAAGCCTCGTCCCGGCCCCGAGAACCTGGAGGCGGGGCCGTCGGGAAGGCGGGGGAGGTGGGGAGGTGGGGCCATCAGGGAAGGCGGGGGCATAGGGAGGATGGGGCCATCGGGGAGGCGGGGCCATCGGGGAGGCGGGGCCATCGGGGAGGCGGGGCCATCGGGGAAGGCGGGAGAGGCGAGGAGGCGGGGCATAGGGAGGACGAGAACGAGGCCATCGGGAAGGCGGGGCCATTGGGAGGACAGAGCCATCGGGGAGGCGGGGCCATCTGGAGGCGGGGCCTTCGGGGAAGGAAGAGGAGGCGGGGCATAGGGAGGCGACGACGAGACCATCGGGGAGGCGGGGCCATCTGGAGGCGGGGCCATTGGGAACACGGAGCCATCGGGGAGGCGGGGCCATAGGGAGGCGGGGCCATCGGGAGGACGGCGCCACCGATGAGGCGGGGCCAACGGAGAGGCGGCGCCATCGGGAAGGTGGAGACATCGGTGCGGACGGGCCCGGCACTCGCTTCCGGTTTCCGCCGGAGCCTGGAGTCGTTGCGCGCCGCCGTCATGGCAGCGGAGGAGAAGGACCCCCTGAGCTATTTCGCGGCTTACGGGAGCAGCAGCTCCGGCTCGTCGGGCGAGGAGGAGAACAGCGAGCCCGAGGAGACCCGCGACAGGGCCCCCGATGCGGCGGGGAAGCAGGCGGAGAAGCGGCTGCCGGGCCCCGACGAGCTGTTCCGGAGCGTGGCACGGCCGGCCTTCCTCTACAACCCGCTCAACAAGCAGATCGACTGGGAGAGGCGCGTGGTCAAAGCGCCCGAGGAGGTGAGACCCCCCCCCGCCCCCGCGGGTCCCGGCCGAGCCCCCAGCGCCCCCACCCGCAGCCACCGCCCCCTCCCGCCCCGGGGAGCCCGGGCCCCCTGCCCCCCCGCCGGGTGGGTGCCAGGGCCGCCCGCCGACGCCCCCACCTCCGAGCTCGGTGCCCCGACCCCGCGCGGCCAGGACTAACGGTGGTGACTCCCCCGCCCCCCGCTGCAGCTGCTCCCCGAGACCCCTTCCCTTTGACGCCGGAGCTACCCGCGCTGCTGCCTCCGCGACAGCGTCTGCCGCAGCCTCCCGGAGGGTCAGCCTTGGCGTAGTAACTGACACTGGATTCTTCTTTTGGTAACTAAAAGTTCTGAGCTTTATTCGTGTAGGAAAAAAAAATACCCTTTGGCTTTGCATTTAACAACAGCCTTGTGGATGGAAAAAGATATTGTGTCTTTTAACCTAAAAGGAGAAAAAATATATATATTAAAAATTAAATTCAGCCGCAAGTACTAAACGACCTCTTAGGGAGGTGCATGTACAGCCCGACGGTAGGAGCGTCGGGTGGTCACGGCGCTTCTTCATGTGTTTGCTTGACAGCCTCCCAAGGAGTTCAGGATTTGGAAGTCCAGCTGTGTGCCACCCCCAGAAACATACTCAGCCGAGCGGAGGCCGCCACCGCCAGAGCTGGACATGGCCATAAAGTGGTCTAACATATATGAGGACAATGGCGATGACGCCCCCCAGAATGCTAAGAAAGCCAGGCTCTTACCAGAAGGGGAGGAGACAGTGGAATCTGGTAAGGCCATTCGGACGCCTGCGCAGCTTATGCTCAAAGCGCTCGAATGAAATTTGCATCTAGCCACTTAGCCTGCTGGGGTGGTGTTTGGATGTTAGAGAGGACCCTAAATAACCCAGGCTTGAACGTTGAAGTAGTGTCACAGTTGCCAGTGCGTACTGCTTGACCAAGGGTGCTTTATCAGTAGACCGATTGACTCTTGGATTCCTGTGATTGCTGCTGTACGGTGCTGAAGATACCTATATAGCAATAGGAAGGTGCTATCTTACCTTGTCTCAGACATAGTATGATTCCGTCTGACTTTGACCGTAAGTAGTCACAGTAATCCCTGCTCTTTACTCCCCTATCCATTCCATCCTTCACACTGTAGCTAGTGTCTTTCTTTCTTTCTTTCTTTCTTTCCTTCCTTCCTTCCTTCCTTCCTTCCTTCCTTCCTTCCTTTTTTTCTGGTCACAACCGTTGATATTCAGGGGTTACTCCTGGCTTTGAACTCAGGAAATTGTTCATGGCGGTGCTTGGGAGATCATATGGGATGCTAGGAATCGAACCCACATGGTGCTTGTGCGAGGCAAGCTCCTTACGCACTATACTGTATCTCAGCCCTTAGTGTTTTTGCTGATAATGCAACTCACCTGCACTAAATGCTTACCCAGCAGAAGCAAAAGCCTTCCATGCTTCTTTCTCCACCCTTTTAAAATACTTGAAGGTCTTGAAATTTAGAATTGAATAGATCATGCTATTTTGTAGTTCCACGCCTCTCCATGAGTTCAAACCTCATGCCTTTCAACATATGTTTTACCTAAATCTGGAGTGTTCTTCCCACCTTCTTTTGATTTGTACCTTTTTTCAAAATGCAACTCAAAAAATACCTCCACTATCTCCTCCCTTTCTCTTCTCTCTACGTTGTATGTACGTGTGAATACTGTTGATTGCACTTAAACCTTTCATGTGATCATTTGCACATGAACCTTTTAAGTTCCTAAAACAGCAAGGTTCAGGTACTGTTGTTCATCATTACCCATTTAGTGACTAGTTGTTAAGCAACCTGTTTTGGACAACATTTTTATATAAGTGCATACCCATTTTATTAAATATACTTTGTTTGGTTTTTGTTTTCGGAAGAGCCTGGCAAGCTACCCGTGGCATATTCAATATGCCAAAAACAGTAACAATAACCTTTCTCATTCCCCTGACCCTGAAAGAGCCTCCAATACGGCAGCATTGGGAAAATCGAGTAAGGAGGGACCGCCAGAATCACAGGGCTGGGACGAATGGAGACATTACTGGTGCCCGCTCGAGTAAATTGATGAATAACGGGATGGGAGTGTTACAGTTTTTTGTTTTGGGTGGTGCTCAGGCCTTATCCCTGGTTCTGCCCTCAGAGATTACTCTTGGTGGTGCTCGGGGGACCATATGGGATGCCAGGGACCAAACCCTGGTCAGCCAACTACAAGGCCCATGCTCTACCTGCTGTACTATTGCTCTTGTCTCATGTTAAATAGATTTCTAATTTTTCCATAGTACCAGAAGACCTTTTTAAACTTAAAAAAAAATGGCGGATATTTGGACCACACCCAGCTATGCTTACTCCTGACTTTACCCTCAGGGATCACTATGGGGGCTCTAGGGACCATATGTGGTGCTGAGGATCCAACCCAAATCTGCTGTGTGCAAAGCGAGTGACCTACTCACTGTACTATTGCTCCAGCCCTTACCTCCTTTTAAAAATGGTGTAGATAATTCAATGAAAAAAGTAACTAATAGTAAATTTTCCACCAGGCTTGATTCTTGGTACTTTTAATTTTCCATCACTGATTTGCCAGTGTTGATTTACCAGTGTGGACTAGAAGTCACTGAAGACGGCACATCTTCAGTATGGCATCATCATCCACAATGAAATGGGCATTTATCAGACTTCATTTTATATTATTAATAAAAGTACTTGTGCATAGTCTTTAAATCTTATAACAGTTTTTGAAATCAGATAGCGATTATCTGTAAGAGATCTTAAATGATGTTTACACATCATTTTAGACCAAATTAAGTTTTCTGACTTATTACTCTTAGCAACCTGTTGTAGGCATTATACTCTATTTGTTCTATTTTGCAGTCAAGAAAGCAGTGTCAGATTTAACAGGCTCCCTAAAAAATATACACAACTAGAAGGAGGCAGAATGACTTCCCAAGATGGTCAAGGTGCTTGCCTTGAGCACAATTGGTGGTCTCACAATTGGTTGATCCCTGGAAATGTATTTGGTCTCTCCAAGCACCAGAGGGGTAATCCAGTTCTGACCAATTACACCACCACTTGTGACCCTAAAACAAAACAAAAAAGATGAAGAAAACTTGAGATGTTTAATATGGTGCCTTATTATATTGATGTTTACTTTTGGTTTTCCAAACTGGAATGCTTGAGAAATCTCGTAGAAAGAGTGGCAGTAAGGGCACTGGAATTTATATTCAAACTAGGTGCCATAGGCTGGTGCTCTACTGTTTTTCCCTGTAGGGAAAAGGCCTGGATTCGTAGTAGGACAAAGAAGCAAAGAGAGCTACCATTTTTCTAATTGCCTATTGAGTTTGGTTAGGAGGTATTAAGTATATGATAAATAAGACTACTGTATCCAGAGATAATTTCTGTGCTTTTGATCATGATGGTACTACGTCAGAAATGAACATAGATGACTTTTTTACAAAAGGACCAAGTCCAGTGCTCAGCCACTTAAAATCAGCTGAATCATATGTTTAAATGATAATCCTGTGAACTTTAATATTTATCTTGAAGTTGGTTATTGATTATGACTTTTTTAAACAAGTATCTTCCTTTTCAGAAGTGATACTGGTATTTTTAAACTCCTGGAAAATCAGTTTCCCTAATTTTTTTCTTTATATTACATTTTTCTGAAGTACTGTGATTCACAGTATTTGATATTTACAGAATATGGCAGCTTTATGTACTGTGCCATCACTACACCCTTCACCCTCCTGCAGTCTCCCAAAGGTCTTCCTGTCCCCCCACTATCTCCTCCTGCCCTGAAGTCATTTTCTTTGGACCAACTCTGGTTGCCAGACATTTTTATGCCTCTTTTTAAAAAAAAAAATCTGTATTTCGTGAAAATCATACTCTGAAATTACAAAATATCTAGATTATCAAAGTTGTCATTTTTTCCTTTCCATTTTTTGACAACCTGTTTGTTCTTTTTTTTTTTTTTTTTTTTGCTTTTATTTTTTGTTTGTGTTGGTTTTTGAGCCATACCCATCAGTGTTCAGGTCTTACTCCTGGCTCTGCACTCAGGGATCACTCAGTGATCAGCTCCAAAGACCGTGTGGGGTACCAAGAATCTAACCCATGTTGGCCACATTCAAGGCATTTTCCCTGCCCATCCAGACATTTGGTCTTTTTTTTGGCTGGCTATCTTTTCCCAGATGTTTCTTCTTCTTTAGTAGTTGGAAAATATAATGGTTAGAACTAGACATGGTAGAGTTTTAAACCTTACATTCATAATGAAAGCCTAGTTATGATAACTGCTTTTTAAGGACAATTTAAAAAAGCTTATATTAATACTTTAAACTTAGCTCCAATGACAAATGTCATAACAGAAAAATGGTGTTTTCGTTAGTATGCCTGCAGTACTGAACTCTGCTTTGCTTTGTGGTGGTGCCAGTGACGGATCCCCGTCCCATGCATGCAATACATGTCCTTTATTTTGCCACTTATTCACATCTCTATGAAGTAGAAACTTGACTCAAGTGTGAAATAGATGAATGAACATTCATGTGTTTTCCTGCACCTTAAGGTAGTTCCTTATTATGTCACTAGATGGCAATAGCTCTTTTGGTCAAGTCACAGATGGGACACTACTTTTCTAAGCTTAGTTTGTGAGTTGTTCCTAGGTGTATGTTTTTATTGGTAGGTAGCAGTTTTAAAAAGAAATTTTTCAGGGCCAGGGAGATGGCCTAGCAAGCTGGAGCGCTTGCTTCCAGTGCAGGGGTCTAACCTGTCCAACCACAATTTAGGCACGTGCATGGTCCCCCAAGCACCACCAGGTGTGAAAGATAAACAAAAATTAAAATCTCAGGATCAACTTTTAAATACATACCAATGGTGGATTTTTCAGTAAAGTTAGAAATTATTTTCAAGTTTTATATTACCTCTACTAAGAATTATTTTAAAAGCATGCTGATACACTGCACTCCACAGGGAAAAAGTCTGTCTTGCTTGACTTTGTGCTATATCACTTGCTTTTTAATGCCAGCTAAACATGATGCATACATGGTAAAGTACTAATTCAAATTTAATTTCTAAATTCCTGGCTGAGTCATTGATCTGAATATATTTTATCTTTCTGCCTGCATGAATTCATTCTGTTCAGTGAAATACATGCATAACATCATTATCTTTTGTTTAAAGAAGAATAAAGATGAACTGCCTGCTTTTAATACTCCTTATTGTCAGTATTACAAAGGAAATACTGAACATGGTACACTCAGAAGAAGGGAATTTAAAGGTTTATGGTTTAAAATATATTTCCTCCATAGTTTGTCAACTGATGGTAATAATTTCCCTTTTTTTTAAAAAAAAAGGAAAGCCCTTTACAACATCAAAATATTTTATAAATTTCTATGATAGTTGTCAAAGTCTTGCATGTCCTTTAATCAAGAAAATAGTCAAAAGGTACAGTGAATTTTGTAATATCTTTTAAGTTTACATTTTATGATTCATACCATCTAGTACATGTTATTTATTTTAATAAGTTCTTTACATAAGTTCTTTTCAGGGAGTTGAGAATCTGTGTTTTATCAACTAGTGCTTGATTTTTTTTTTAATTTTTATTATTATTATTATCATTATTTTTTGCTTTTTTGGGTCACACCCGGTGATGCACAGGGGTTACTCCTGGCTCCGTATTCAGGAGTTACTCCTGGCAGTGCTCAGGGGACCATGTGGGATGCTGGGAATCAAACCCGGGTCAGCTGCATGCAAGGCAAACGCCCTACCCACTGTGCTATCACTCCAGCCCCAGTGCTTGGGTTTTTTAAAATTTTTTTTAGTTGAATACGAAACAGTTCACTTTATCAAGTTTGGCATTGTTCCTAGGAATTGGAATTTTTTTGTGGCTACAGATGACTAATAACATTTTAGAAAAATATAAAGGACATGATTTTAATGTAAGATTCTTGTGTATCCTTTTTCTCCTAAGTTCTTCATAGAATGAGTCTTACTATTTCATTTGAATGCCCTGAATCTCCTAGGAGTGAAGGCAGTTCAGAACTAACTCCTTAAGAAAAAATTGGAAATAGGAACTCAGTGAAATAGTTTTACATTTTAACACTTTACACCTCAACATATACACCTCATGAATACATACATATACATATATGTATATGTATAAGGGGCTGGAGTGATAGCATAGCGGGTAGAGCGTTTGCCTTACACGCAGCCGACCAGGGTTTGATTCCTCTGGCTCTCTCGGAGAACCCGGCAAGCTATTGAGAGTATCCCACCCATACGGCAGAGCCTAGCAAACTACCCGTGGTGTATTCAACATGCCAAAAACAGTAACAACAAGTCTCATAATAGAGACGTTACTGGTGCCCGCTCCAGCAAATCGATGAACAATGGGAAGACAGTGCTACAATGCGCTCTCTCTCTCTCTCTCTCTCTCTCTCTCTCGATACACACACATATATATATATATATATATATATATATATATATATATACATCCCACTGCACTGACCACCAAAGTTCCACTGCCATTCATACTGATAGATTGACCTCTTTCCTCTCTGTCTACTCAAACTGCAAGGATGGGAGAGGGGTAAGAACAGGAAGGGGGTTGTTTAGGTGGGGGCTAGTGGAGTGGAAGAAACAAAGTAGATTGAAAGGATGGCTAATGGCCATCTTTGACTTTTGCATAAAAGAATGGAATGTGCAGGATCTGAGCCATAGTACAGTGGGTAGGATGTTTGCCTTGCACATGGCTGACTTGGGCTCAATCCCCAGCATCCCATATGGTATGCTGAGTACTGCTAGGAGTAATTCCTGAGTGCAGAGCCAGGAGTAACCCCTGAGCATCACCAGGTATGACCCAAAAAGAAAGAAAAAAATGGAATATTGTCCTTTTCTACAAAGTATAGATTGTAAATTTCACTTTCTTTTTTAAATTTTTAATTGACTCACCGTGAGATACAGTTACAAAGCTTTCATGATTGAGTTTGTCATACAGTGATCAAATACCCATCCCTCCACCAGTGTCCCCAGTATTCCTACCACCGCAACCCCTGTCCACCCCATCCCCTGCCTCTGTGGCAGGCATCTTCTTAACTCTCTCTAGATTGTATATTTTAATATTCATGCTGTCACTGTCACTGTCCTCCCGTTGTTCATCGATTTGCTCAAGCGGGCCCAGTAACTTTGTGAGACTTGTTATTGTGTTTGGCATATAGAATACGTCACGGGAAGCTTGCCAGGCTTTGCCCCGTGGGCAAGTTACTCTCAAAAGCTTGCTGTGCTCTCAGAGAGGGGCGGAGGAATTGAACTTGGGTCGGCTGTGTTGGCCATGTGCAAAGCAAATGCCGTACCTGTATTTCTAAGATTCCTTGTTTTCTTTTCTCTTTTTTTAATTCATCTGGGGCAGCATTTTAAGAATAAAGGTGATTTCTCATTTTAAGCCATATTAATCTAGCATTAAAAGACCTCTGAATTTTGTGTACTACTGCAATTGAAATTATTACTTGAACTTTAAAATCAAGAGTTATTTTCCACTTTACTTTTTTTAACCCAACCTATGATGAATGCTGTTACTTATTTCAATTTTCAAAGCAGAGTTTCGAATGTTGTCTGGTATTAAGTGTGCACATTGATAACTGTTCTTGACCTTTCTTTCCTACTTAAAGAAGAAATGTGTCTTCTATCATTTTTAAACCCTATTCCTCCAAAATTTTATTAAAAATCTTTCATAAATTATTCAATCATTTTTGGGAAAATAGTGGGCATTTAATATTTTGACATAGTTTCAGGTAATCAACATAATGACTTTTCAGAGAGAGAAGGACAAATATTGATTGGTCCCACTGGTATATACAAAGAGAGAAAAGAAAGGAATAGACCATTATAGAACAAACGCTTGTAATACAAGGCCAAGGCAATTCCCTTGGCTTTATATTACAAAACTCAGATTACCAAATAGTAGGGAGGAGAAGAGAGGGAATGAAGGGATGAACAAAAAGTAGACTTTAAAGTTTTGGGCACTGGTGGTAGTGAGGTATGGTAACTACATTAAAAACTAGAAAGTTTTTAAGTATGTTGCCTAGAGCATAATAATAAATTTTAGGAAACATAATGACTATATCTATGAAATGACTGAAATACCACAATGTCTACTTAACATCCATCTTTGACAGAAAGCTTAAGGGCCTGGCGTATTTGGGTAGCTCCTTATGCTGTCAAACGTCACCCAGAAACATAAACAGCTACACCACACATAGACATTCTTTTCTGTGGAGTAAGAACTTAGAAGCTCTAATTAACAACTTTCAAGTATATGCTTAATAGTATTAGTAACTATTTAGTTCCTCTTACCCAAAACTTTAAACTGGATTTTTTTGTGTTTAGTTGGGAAACTTTGAAAGAGTTAATAAAAGTGATCATTTTTCCATAAGGTCAATGAAGTTTTGATACCTAACCTTCTAAAAAACTTACTCATTGAAATTCTTTCTTTTCTATTTAAAGATGATGAAAAAAATGAGCATACTTCTAAAAAGCGCAAAATAGAACCAGGAGAACAAGCCAAGAAGAAAAAATAGAAAACAACAAATAATGCGATTCTATGGACTCTGAAGCTTGTTGAAATGGTTTTGGGGACAGATTAAGTTGATACTGATAAGTTATTATTACACAACATCTCCATGAAAATGCAAGCTAATAATAAGTATTGCTGCAGGAACTTTACATTTTAGAATTCGTTTTTATTTAAAACTTACGTGTATTTAAAATTCAAATGGTGACTTGTGATTGATTGTGAAATTGACGGTTGGAAGCATCCTTGCTGTCCATGATTGGTGATGTGTTTGGAGAGTTTTGTCACTTGTTGACATGCCAATATACTATGAACCTTTTATAAAGGAATATATTTTTAAAGTAAATATATTGTAATGTACTGTGAATTTGTAGGGTGCTTTACAACAGTGTTTATACAGTGTATATAGATCATGGAAATAAAATTATTCACTATTAGTATTACTGCATAACAAACATTTGAATATTTGTGACAAGTACCATTTGCCATATTATGTTTCAAATTGTAGTAGTAGATATTACTACTTAAGGGAGTGCCTCCTGCATTCCAGGTGCTTTGTGTTACTTCAATCCTCAGACTACCCACTAAAGCAATATATTAACCCTAATATATTATAATAGAGATTAATTTTTCTTCCTAATGAGAGATGTATATGAAATTTGACTCATGACTCTGATTTTAAAATCATACACTAGCTCATTTATCTATGCACCGCTCAAAATTTAACTGCTGTTGCCATCTCTTCCAGCTGCTCTTCTGGGATAGTAGATCTTCACTGATTGTAGTACTGTACTTGTCAGGAATATCTAATACCATGATTATTCACTGAATGTCCACTAGTTTACTGAAGATAAGGATCTTATGCAAGTCTATCAAAATACAAGACGCAGTCTATCAAAATACAAGACGCAGTTAAAAGGAGAAATTTTTTTCTTACTCCCCAAAAAGAAAATTTTAAATAAACAAGTGTCCTCACCTATACAATATTTGGAACATACTTAAATGAAAAATGTGTTTATCTGAAGTTCACATTTAACTGAGCATCCTGTGTTTTATCTGGTAATCCTACATGTTCTTTTCTGCCCAGATTCTATTTTTTTTTCTTCCAGATTCTATTTTTAATGTGTCATATGTAATAGTACATAAGAAAATGAGCAAGAGGTAATCAGGAAGACATTCTTTAATTTGAATTTTACAGTTTGAAGTGCAGTGTAGTTGTTTGCAGTATCTCGATTAAAAAGAGGATCAGACATTCAATCTTTTCAGGATTCTTGGATCTGTTAGATTTAAGAGTTAATGCATAAGTCTACTATACATAAAATGTATAAGAAAAATTAAAGACATCTGTCTTTGAGTTTTTTTTTTAAAAAAAAAAACCTCAGTGTAATTGTTTTCCCTCAGAAAGACTGTCTTTTGAAAAAACTATGAAGTTTTAGTTGGGAATGTGGAGTGAGTAGCGTGAAATATGTAAGGCAGTAAAGTGATTATTCCAGCATGGTATTTTGCAGAATAATGAACAGGATCTATTCTATCTCATACTAAAAAACCAACTCTACAACTCCTAGTCCTTTAGGTTAGCAAATACCTAGGACCTGAAATTGTCGCTAGTTTCCCCTAACCCCACCCCCAGTTTACAGTCTGCCTCTATGGTTTGCAAACAGGTTCTGAAAGATTATCGTGTAAATCACTACCTCTGTTCAGCACTCAGTTCTTGTCCAAAGTGTTCATTTCTGACTCTCATTGTCATAGTGGTCCCTTCACTTTCCTAGCCAAAAACAAATCCCATCCCTACTTGTAACAACTTTCCAAGGATGGGCCAGTCCTCCTGGCCCTCGTTTCTTCAGGCTGTTTTTAATGAATGAAAGGGAAGCATATTTAGAAAGAAAGACCCTAAACATATTGAAGTACTCTGATCTCACCATTTATATTTTCTTGGATTTTTTTTCAAATATACCCCAAAAAACAAAACAAGTAGCTTGTGGGTTACTTAATGTTTCATATACCTGATTAGAAAAAGAACTTGTGTTGTTGTTGTTGCTGTTTGATTCTGGGGCCACATTGGCGGTGCTTAGGGCTTAACTCCTGGCTCTGCACTCAAGGATCACTCCTGGTGGGACTCAGCACCATATGGGGTGCTGGAGATTGAATCTGGTCAGCCGTGTGCAATACCCTTCCCCCTGTACTTCAGCCCTGGGAAATGGACTTTCATTTCACCCTCGGCATCCATCACTACATTCGATTCTTATCCCCTTCAGAGACATCCTAGAACTGGTTTGTGAAACAAGTGTCCATGTGGGTACTGAGATAAGAAGCAGTTTGGTTCAGCTAGTGAAAATCCAGTGAGGAAGATATAAAAATCTTGTCGATAAGGAAAGTCCTCTGTCCTTGTTGCTTTCCTTTTTAGAGAAGCAAGACACTTGGTAATGGGATTCTTTCCTTAATTGAGATATGAATCTTCAGCTATATCAGCATGAAGTACTTGTGCAAAAATAGCCCTTTTTGGGGGGGGGAACAACCTAAACGTTTGTGGTCTGTATTTTAAATTTCAAGGTATAGACAACATGGGGTGTATCTTGGGCAAAGGGATGCTCTCAAGGGTGTTCAGGAGACTTGGAGACACCTCCCAGCAATTCTTAGAGATGTGGGGCGCCAAACCTATTGTTTAGGGGGCCATCTAGTGACAGGGATCAAACCATGGTTTGTACTGCCGTCAAGGGAAGCACCTTAAGAAACTCTGTACTATCTCTCTCCCGCTGCTTTCTTGGCACATAGAGCTCTAAGAAAAATATTTGACAAATCAGAGACAGTTACTACAAAATAGACACTGTTTCCTACCCACTAAAATACTACTATTACTTGAACTTGTTTGCAAATGCAGATGTGCAACTTTTGAAACTTTGAGGGGTGAGAAGATTGGGCTATACCCAAATGTGTTGGAGGCTATTCCAAGCTCTGTACTCAGGGGTTGCTCCAGGGATGCTCAGGACAGGGGTTCGTGGTGGTGGTGGTATGGTGGCAAGCATTGAATGGGAGTCACAAGCAAGATAAGCACCTTAAATCCTGTACTATGAGTCAGCTCCAACTCTTGAATCTAGCCTGACTACTGTAGAGAATTTTAATCACATAGTTGCTATTTCTTTTTAAACACTTAATGAGGTAAGCTTTATCATTGCGAAACCAGAGGATGGAATATAGGCCCATCAAGATGATACTTTCTACCCCACCAATGCTCCCTTAGTTGCCTTCAGAGTTCAGGCTAAAATCAGTATCCCATTTCGTGCAGAATTTATGGTGTATATATGAGGCTTGAGGTATTGTGATAAGAGCATGTGACCCACATTCATTTCTAGAAAACTTAGCAGCCTACAAGTGGAGTCAGACTGGCTCCAGTAAGATATCTAAATGAACTAAGGTGTTGGAAAGACAGAGGGATAGGGAAAAATTGATAGCAGTTAGTTGGATGTAATAGCCAAGACTGAGATTTTCCTTCATTGCAGACATTTATTTAACTTATTTTTCTTGGGGGCCACACCTGGGGGTGCTCACCAGAGCTTATTTCTGGCTCTGCACTCAAGGGTTACTCTCAAGTACTTTCACCTCTTGCTCTCTTTGTACAGAAATTCCATACATTCCTTCCAAAAGGTATTTACTTTCTAGCAAGCATTTTGGACTCTTCATTAAATTCAAAGGCTTTTTCTCTTCATTTTTCTTTAAATAAAAGAGTTCCCCCAACTTGAAGATTATTTGCATTTAATGAGAGAGAGAGTGATAGAGTGAGTGAGAGAGAGAGAGAGAGAGAGAGAGAGAGAGAGAGACTTTTGTTAATCACTGACTAGAAAATGTCTGCCACATAGCTGTCTCTCAGCATAAGTGCTAAATGCTGATGGTAAGCTGCTTTCTCATCTTCAACTTAGGCGTGATCCTTCAAAGCCCTGTGGTTTTATTTTGGGGCCACTCCCAGAACAGTTTAGGGATTGCTCCCGGTGGGGCTCAGGGAAACCATATAGGGTGCCAGGATCAAACCCAGGTCAACCAAGTGTAAGACAAATGCTCTACCACTGAACTATCTCTCCAGCCCTAAATGTTGACATTTTAAGCTTTTCTCCCAGGACCAGATTGCAACCCTGGTTCTCTGTTTCTTCCTTCTGATTCCATTTGTCCTGACTGCTTGGAATGCCATGTTGTTCTCTTTCATTCTTAGGTGTTCTCATCAGAATACTAGCTCCTGATGATCAATTCATGGCTACCACAACCAGTAACTGCTGATTCCCTACAGTGTGACTTTCCAGAATGTACTAATATAGCCCCAGATTTGTGTGTCCAATTCATTGCTACTCGGGTCTTATAGGCCCTTCACATCCTTTATATGTCCAAACCAAACATACTGTGTCAAGAACCTCATCATTATGGGCCTTGGAAATAACTGGTCTGGCCCCATGTTTTGCATATGGGTGACCTAGTTTCCATTCTTGGTACCTCAAGGACCGAGCACTGATCTGGGAGTCACTCTGGAACACCACCAGGTATGACAAAAAACAAAATATCACCTATGTATTTTTTATATATTTTATATATTTTTTCTGGTTAATGGCTTCAACATAAACTCTGCTGTACTTCCCATCATATATATTTGATAAATAAATCCTGAGGGTTTTCTTCCCTCCTCTACACCTAATCTAGTCCAACATCAAAAAATTTAAAATTTCTCAAACAGGCTACTTAGTTTCGAAGTGTTGTGCCTTTGCTTGTACCATTTGCTTGGTCTGGCTCTAATACTGTCTTTTCAGTAAACCCTACTTTAATCCCTCCTTTATGTAAATTATTCTGTCTGGATTTTCACTGTACATTTGTTGCTGTTCTCCAGGATCAGTTCTAAAGAGATACCTGATATTTAGGGTGCATATTACAAGCCAGGTATTGTTCTTGGTGCTTTCCACATATTAACTCACTTAATTTGGTGAGGTAGGAATTATTACCACTCCACATGGTCCCCAGGTGTGGCCCTAAAATGAACTAAAAAAAATTCTTTTTTATTAGATCAGGGAAATAGCACAAATAACTGAAGCACATACCCTTCATATGCAAGACCCAAAATGGGATCTGTAACATCACATGACCCTTTGAACTCTGCTGGGTGAATAATTGATGGCCTCAGCACCACTGGACAGAAGCACTGGGTATGAATGTAGTAAGCTAAGGTATATCAGTAGTAAGCCTAAGCCCCAGGCACTGCTGGGAGGTCTCCCGCAAAGAAGAAGAAAGGAAGAAGAAAAGGAAGGGAGGGAGCGAGGGTGGGGGTCATGTTTCTAGAAGACACTGTTGACCAAAAATAATTAGGTTGCAGTATAATCAAGAAAGCATATATTCAAGAATAGGGACTCTAAGGGGCGGGGAGATTTCCAAAAGTTTAAGTGCATAGTTGGCATGCAGAAGCTCCCAGTTTGACCCATGTCACTGCATGGTGCCCCAGCACTGCCTGGAATGGCCCCCGAGCACTATGAGTGTGATTTTAAAATGAAAATATGAATGGACAGGAGTGACAGCAGAGGAGCTAAGTTGCTTGTCTTGCATGCAGTGAATCCTGGTGCAAACCTGGTTCAAATCTGGCACCATACATGGTCCCCCAAACACCACCAGGGGTCAGTACTAAGCACAGAGCCAAATATAGCCCCTGACCACAGTTGGGTATGGCCCAAATTCCTCACCCCCCCCACACCTCCACAGTACCCTAAAAAATGAACAAGAACAGCAAAAATGAATAGAGATCATGATTTAGGTCTACAGCCAACAGGTCTGTTCAAGGTTTGTAGTACCTCAACTGGGAATGGGCTTTTCTGTTTATTGTTGTTATTCCCAGCAGGGCTCAAGGAATCAGGACGTGCTGGGGATGGAAGCAGGGCTCCCAGTGTACTCAAGCCCCTTAGCCATCACTCTGGATCCCCAGATGATGTTCGTAAGCTCTCAATCAGGTTTAAAGTGAGCAAATTTTTGTAAGTTTATTTGGGGTGCAGTGATTTGCAATATTGACAGGGCTTTATGCTCACAACTTTCTAACATCTCACTCTCCACCAGAGTGTCTGTTTTGGAATAGATACTTTTTTTTTTTAAGTTAAATTATCTTTTTTTTTCATAGTTACAAAGTTGTTCATGATTGGCTTTCAGTCATACAATGTTCCAACATCCATCCCTTCATCTCTTCACCATTTCCCACCACCAATGTCTCCAGTTTCTTCCTATCCCCCACTCCCGTCAGCCACCTGCCTGTATGGATTTTTTTTTTTTTTTTTTTTTTTTTTTTGCTTTTTGGGTTACACCCGGCGATGCAGGGGTTGCTCCTGGCTTTGCACTCGGGAATTAC